CTGGGTAGATGGAGAACTCCAGCTTGGACTTCTTGCCATAGTCAACAGACAGGCGCTCCATCAGCAAGGAAGTAAAACCAGAGCCGGTTCCACCACCAAAGCTGTGGAAGACCAGAAAACCCTGGAGTCCTGTGCATTGGTCGGCCTGTTGAAAACAGCAAAGGGGATTTAGTGATTTTAAGAACCAGATTCTTCTCTCATTAATGATTTTCAAGCCTTTGCTTAATAAAGACTTAGCACTTAAGAAAGTGGCAGAAGAAATTCAATCCCCTGCCAGTTGCTTGAGAATAGTCTGTGGGCCACTATAAATTCCAAACAGCCACAGACTACAGCAACTGGCCTTCCAGACATTGGTCAATGCCAATTTCTGCCAGCTCCTGGCAGCATACCAATCATCAGGAATGAGGGAAACTTAAATCTAACAACCTCAAGAGCTGCTCAAAAATTGTCCTTCCTTCTCATTTGCTCCCTGTCAATCTAGGTATTTATACTTCTCCTCCACAGCCCTCCAGAATATAATTCTTGAACTGAGCTACAATTCTTTTCATTCATTTGGTGAGTCTGGCCAGCCTCTTTAGAGAAACATGAATTCAACCACTGTTCACTAAACCATGTTTTGTACAGTAAAACATGGGCATGTTCACATGATGCAAAACAATAAGCAGTGGTTTAGAAATCAAAGAGTAGGTTCAAACATAACTATGCCAAAAAGAAACCCACTATTTTATGACTGACATGGCATCCAAATTCAGCTACTGTCAAACTAACTTCCCACAAACTTGTTGCAAGGCTGCAAATAGGATAGGGTTTTTATATGCTTTCACCCTTGTCTCATTCATTCATCACATTTGCTGTGCAAAACTCAATTATGGCTAAAAGGAGAATAAGTGGGTTGCCAGCAAACAAAGGAAAAAAAAAAGGGTGGGGGGGAACATTCAGTGAGCCACACTGGAAGCAGGGGACAATTCTGTACTGTGAAACTAAGGGATACATTAGGGGATTTTATCCCATCTTAAGATTGAGGTTTTCATTTTAAAAAACTATGCATCTCCACAATCCTTTATTTTAAGCTTACAAGCTCAGGGCTCCTTTGGCAGCAGAAATTACCCACCAGTTTTCTAATCCTGTCAAGGACCAAGTCAATGATCTCTTTGCCAATGGTGTAATGCCCCCTGGCATAGTTGTTAGCAGCATCTTCTTTGCCAGTGATCAGTTGCTCAGGGTGGAAGAGCTGGCGGTAGGTTCCAGTGCGCACTTCATCTGTGAAAAGAATTAAGGAGAAAGGTATTTAGATTGCTGTGACATAGTGTGAACATGAACCCAAGATGTTGGTTCAAAAATGTATTAACTGAGAAGGCTTTCAAAGAGATTTGTCTTTTCAGAAGAATTGAAGTTCTGGGATAAAAGTAAGAGACACCACTGAGATGGTTGCAGAGGACACAAATCCAGAATGAAGAAGAGTTGTGCAAGTGGCCAAGCGCTTCCTGTATAAGATGAGTAAAGGCACCTTAAATACAAATTTCAGTGTATTTCAATTGCATTCTCTGTTTCCAAGTAAATTAAAATTGGACTTTGTTCCTTTGAACATGATGGGGCTTCCCACCAAAAACCCCATTTTCTATCTTACTCTTTGACTTCCTATGTGGGACAGGTGCTTATCGCACTTAAAATAAGCTCAGAGGCTTGACTAAAAGTATATTCTGTAACCAGGTCTTAGCCCAACGGTAGTGTATCTTCAACTCAAGCACATTCTAATGGATCAGTACGGGCCAGATACTTTGGCTGCATCAAAGGCTCCTGAGATGCTTCCTTGCTTAATGGAATCCATGACAGAATTAAAACCTAAAACATATCTCTCAAAAGCTCAATATTTTTAAAGCAGACATTTCTAGGACTAAAGAACTGGAATCTCCTATAATGCCCCATCAATGGATTCATGCCCTTAAAAATATTAAAATGGTGTCAACAGATCTGGGATTAAAGTTAATTCATCAAAAAAATTGTATTTAGGGTACATTGGACTCCCCAAAGAATATATTTGAAAGGATGGACAATCAGATTTTCTATGTTGGAGGTATAAAATTTGAGAATTCATTGACCCATACGATAGGGTCATATGATTATCTGATATCTTTTTGGGACAATGCATTAATGTATATAAGTAGATTTATGGGAAAATATTTAAATGGGAAGTTATTAATGGGATGTTGAACTATATACCAAAGCTTTGGAATCTGAGTGTTTATCAGGAATTATGGTTATACCGCACATGGGGGGTGGGTAAAAGAATCATACTGAGAAATTGGAAATCTGGTATTATTCAGATATTAAGGAATGGTTATCAGAAATGTGTGATCTCTTTTGGAAAGGACAGTATTTCCTACTAATCAGATGCAGCAATATATGTTATTATGTCAGAGGTTTTGTGATATTTTATGATATTTTGTACTTACGGTAGTTTATTTTGTTAATTATGCACAGTACTGTGCA